CTGAATCAGAACAACATTATCGGCAAGTTAAGTACTAGTAAAATTTAAAAAAAAACATCACATTGCTGATGCAGCTGCAACTATTTAGTTAATTGCAACGAAGCCTTTCTTTTTATTGCCAAAATCGGTTCGACTACGTGTATGACTGTGGTTTTAACTTGTGGTCAACTTCTCCAAACAACAACATCCAATCTAAACGCCATTTGGTTTTAGCTTACGGCACAGCAGCACGGCGATGCCAGAGTGACTGGACTGAGTACAACCACCACTGCTACAAGTTATTTCGCAGCAAAGTCATCTGGATAAAGGCAAGCCGACGATGTAAACAACTCGGTGCAAACCTGGCTTCTGTCCGGGACGCTGACGAGAATCGCTTCTTAACAAGTCTTATCTCCACTGGTGGGTGATATTTACTATCGTGCTAGTTTATCTTGCAAGTTTATCTTGTTTGGTAGTTACATGTTTAAAGTTAAAACATAAAGAATGGTTCTCATATAGAGCTTTCGACCAGTCACTCTGGTCTTCCTCAGTAGACTGACCCAGTGAGACTTGCCACGTGGCATCTCTGAAGTGTGACGTCAACATTGGACGCAGCACAAGGCTTACTGAGGGGGATGAAACAGGCTATCAGGGCCCATCACTCAACCGCGACGGGGGCCGACATCGTTTACCGGATACCGTGTTGATGCCACACTTCAGAGCGTTAAAACACATGTGTTGTGGAGTAGGTATATTGGTTGGAAAATCGGCTGCTGTATTGACTAACTACTTGCATTCTGTTTCCTTCATTGCAGCACCTATGGGGGATATACGATTTCTTGTCTGGTTTGGGCTGAACCGTCGAAAGGGGAAAGGGTGGAGGTGGACAGATGGTTCGCCTGTTGTCTTCAGGAACTGGGCCCGGGGCCGGCCGGACAACTTCGTAGATGGGATATGTGTTGGCCTGTCCTCCAGGGTGAGTTATTTTATATTTTCATTACATTTCAATCCTATCATCATATTTAACTCCTATATTATAACAGTGGGTGGACGGAGATTTGTTGAGATTAGGATTTCAGTTGATTGACAGGGTTGTGACCCGGACTGTGCACTACATAAGCATGGATGA